TGTGATTTGAGGTTGTGGTGGAAGCTGTGGTATGGAGATTAGCAGTTAGTTTTGGGATTCTCTTTTCTACTCAGGTTAAGTCTGGGAGGGCAGACGCTAATTTTTGGCTTGTGGTAAGGTTTAGATGAGGATATAGACATTGTATAGTGGTTGGGAAATAACCTAATAGGTTTGAGAATTTAGATATATTGGAGTAAAATTTAGTTTTTAGGTTGAGGGTGAGTTGATTTAGTTCTATAGCAATTGTGAATCCTAGAATGGTAATTAGTACTGCTGTAATTTTTAGGTGCAGAGGTATCATTAAGATTGGTGTATTTGTGGGAGGATGTTGTAATGTCATGTCACGTAAAAAGTCTGTAGGTGGATGGTGGCGGTGAAGGTACACCTGGGAGTGTACTTACTACCATGGCACTGCCCACTTAAAATGGGCAAAACGGAAAGTGATCATGTGTTATGGACATCCTATCTGAATTCAAAATTTATATTTTTAATTGAAACATAGTAATTGTACATATTTATGGCATATAGTGTGATATTTCAATACATGTATACAAAGGACCAGATGAGGATAATTGGCATATACGTCACTTCAAACGTTTATCATTTCTTTTTGTTGTAACATTGAAAATCCTCTCTGCTATATACTTTGAAATACAAAATGAATTGTTGGCCATAGTTACCCCACTGTGGCTATAAAACACTGGAATTTTTTCTCTTATCTAGTGACTCTATACCCATTTAAATAAATATTAAATTTATATAAAGATTTAAAAATATTAAAGAACATTTTAAATTTAGTAAATTTAATTTAAATAAATACTTTAAAGCATTCTACTATAGATTATATACATATACATCTTCCATGTAAATGGAGCACTGTGGTACTGTAAACCATTATTAAAATGAAGTTGATATGATGGTATTAAAAGATGGTGGGGGCCAGCTGCAGAGCAGGGTCATAGTTTGTCCCCTTCAGAATGAATATGCATTGAGGCATACAACAATACAACCTTCATGTGTGGGAGGAAACTCTCATGGGCTCAGGGAGATTTGTATATTGTAGGAAGTCAAACTCAAGGTAACTTTCATTTTCTGTTGACATATGTCAGTATCATTTTAACTTTTCACAGGGCATATATTATTTTTATAACTAAAAACCAATAAAGGGCTGGGGATACAGCTCAGTTGGTAGAGTGCTTACCTCGCATGCACAAAGCCCTGGGTTTGATCCCCAGCACCACAAAAATAAAAATTAAAAAAAAAACAACAATAGAGCCAACAGCAGGGAGGGCTTCCAGGACCAGTATCTCAGCCCAGTGGCTTCACCTGTGTGACAGTCTCCCTGGGGGCCGTGGTCACGCCTCTCCACGCCTGGGTTCCCTGTCCATGACCGTGAAGACGACCTGCACACCTCACTGATGAGCAGGTTCCGTTCTGCACCTGTTCGTTCACTGTCTCTTCTCTACCCATCCAAGTGCAGCATCCTGGGAACTGGGGTAATGGTGACTCACACTGTGAACAAAAACAGAAATCAGCGTTGCAAGAGCTAGCCCTTATTAGACACTCCTCACCTGCTGAGCACCAGGCCCAAGTGACCCTGTGTCTACCTGCAGGCGCAGAGCTGTATCCATCTGTCCAACCCAGGGGCTGGCTTGATTCCCTCAGACATGGCCTGTCCTTGTGCCGAGGACGAGATGTATTCATCGCAGCATCGTACCTGGCCCAGGGGGCTGCTTGGTCAGGCTAAGCCCTTCATTTTTCTTCCTTCCAGCCCTGAGAAACCAATTCCAAAATAAAGAGCTTAGACTATCTGAAGTGCATCTGAGTTGGGACAGAAGCCACTCAACCCCACAGTGAAAGGACTGGGACCTGTTTAATCTTTAACAGGCAGGGCCCCAAGGCAGCTGCTGCCCTGCACAGCCCCTACCCAACCCAGCTTCCCTCCCTTCTGCACACCCAGGTCTCATGCTCCACAGGTATGACAACACCAGACACCTACAGTTCTGCTCCAAGCAGCACTGGCAGTGTGGCATGTGGGACTTGTCCTCGTGACCAGCAACCAAGGACATGACATTGCCTACAGCCAAAGCCAGCTGTGGGCGAGGGAGCAGGGAGCCAGGTTACATGATGTGCCCACTGTTCCTGGGATCAGTACAGTCTCAAAACAAAAAGAAACGTCCATCATTTAAAAATCTGCCTTTTCTCCCTGAAAAAGAATAGTGCACATATTTGGGCCACAATAATGATTACAGTCCTCCAAGAATCAATAAGGAGTGTGTAGAGGGTGTGGGCTACATGTAGCCCCAAACTGTAAATACGAAGCCTAGAGTCTGTTTTCGGACATGGTAGGGTGAGACTTGCTGTTGATTGTCAAACTCTGGAGAGGGGCATCAGACAGGGCGCAGGAAGGAGCAGGTTGGGGGACAGGAGGTTGTGCTGCTGGGAAGGGTCACCCAGAAGTGCAGATGGCACTTGGATGAGTCTGTCCTGCTCCTGTAACAAACAGGCCAGAGGCTCAGTCCACAGTTCTGGAGGCTGCAAGCCCAAGATCAAGCTGAGGCGGACTGGGTTCCAGTGACAACCCTCTTCTGAGCACAGCCACACTGGGGACGAGGGCTTTGACAAGGGACGGACGGGAGGGTGCACTCAGTCTGCAGCAGCACTCTTCCATGCACTCATTTCTCCCCAAACTGGACAAAGCCCAGGGCTCACACCTGGGCTGGTGCCCTGGCACCACGCACAGCTGCCTCAGGCCCTGGACTCTCCCTGCCACGTACCACAGGAACTCAGGCTCTTCTCTGTCCCCAGCCTTGGAACCCACCTCTTCTCTCCTGCAGTGGCCTCGTCTCACACTTGAGGAGAGATGGGTGACCCAGAGAGGAGCATGGACTGTGCCTCTAGGCCCCATCTCCCCACTGCTGGGCAATGGGGGTGCCCCTCCTCCCTCCATCACAGCCCCACCTGTGAGTGCCCTGCCAGGTTCTAGCCCCAATCTCACTCAGAGTCTTGGCTTCCCACTGAAGCAGAAGTTGTGTTCAGGGTGCATGTGGCCCTATGGGCACAGTGCTGGGTGGCCTCTCTTCCATTTGCCTTGCCCTAGGCATGTCAGCTGTCAGGGAAAGCTGAGCTCCTCAGTCTTCTTTAGGGTCCAGGGAAGAGTCTCTGATCCCTCATATCTACCATTGAGTGATTGGGGTCATGCTCCCACTCCAGTGTTCAAGTAACCAACTGAGAGTCAACTGGCAAATTAATCACAGCATCGTTGACATTCTGTGGACATAGCCTAAAAATGTCTCCAGGTTCACAGCAATAAAGTCAATCCTGAAAATCAGGTTCATATTTCCTGCATACCGATTCCATTCACTCCCCGGACACCTAGACACACCCTGAGCACATGCTGTGACCACCAGTAGCATCCTGAGATTTTGTGCTTCATTATCCAGCTTACCCCACAATATTATCACATAACTAGGTAATGTTGACCCCATTTTGCAGGAGAAAAACATGAGGGTGCAGAAATAGAATCCAATAGGCCAAAGCCAACAGGTAGTAAATGGAACACCTGGGGCCATCACCTGGAGCACCTAGTTCTCTAGGCTCAGTGCCACTGCCTCTCTGGGTGCCACAGTATCCATGAGAGTGTGACGAAAGGAAGGAAGAGAAGGAGGGAGAGAAGAGGGGAGGACCCACAAGAAGGGCCTCCTCACTACTCCAACCTGAGACTCACTCACCCTCCCCACCTTTTGCTTCAGGAACCTTGTGTTCCTCCGGCAGCTCTTTAAAGTTCCTGCCTTCACCCCCATGGACTCCCTCTGAACTGGCCAGCAGGACCCCACATACACAGCCAGGTGCAGGCCAAGCCCTGGGGCCAAAGCACTCCTAAAGTCCTGGGAATAAGTCACCTCCAACCACCTGCCAGCAGGCTCCCTGCGTACCTCCAGAGCCCCTGCCCAACTTCCTCCCAACTCCCTGTGCCCACCTGCCTCCCAGTCAGCCTCTCTGGGGAAGCCACAAGCAGGTGATCTCACTGCACCCCTAGTCTATGGCACAGAACAGACTTGGAGGCTGAGCCTCAGCCTGAGCTCCTCAGACCCAGCAATGATTCTCTGAGCTGATCAATGTCCTCTTAATAAGCTCCTCTCTTGCTTAACCAGCCAGAGCCTGTTCTACGACTCGCAAATTAGACCCCTAATGAGACACTAGGAAAGCTACTCCCAAAATTGAAATGAAGACCAATGAGAAATAAAATGTTTTCTAAAACTTCACATCACTGAGCAGCAGAGGCTGCTTGGAGACTGGGAACACCACACCCCTACACTGACAGGCACAGCTCCTGGGGTCTATGCACTGCCCTCTAGGGCCAAGATGGGGGATCACACCAGAGAAGCCACAGTTGCAAATCCTGGGAACACAAGTCCAGATGGAAAGTCCAAGTGGGTATTGGCCCCTCAAGGAGACCTTCTATATCAAAAGAGAGATGAGAAGCAACTTCAGACTGAGGAGGAATTTTTATCCTTGCAACCAGATCATCTGCTGTACTAAAAGGTTGAAGCCAGAAGCCACTCTGGAGGCACACCATTAAACCCCAGGGACAAACACCAGCATGGAGCCCACAGCCATCGGCTTGGGCTTCGGGTCTCAGGGGCTCCCTGAGCCTTGTACTCCCCACAGGGAGTGTGAGCTGCCTTGCTGAGGACCCCCAGGATTCCTATGCTGAAGAGCAAACAGGCTGGCAGGAGGCCGTGACTCCAGGTTTCAAGGTTGAGAGTAAAATCCAGCCACAGCTGGACAGAGAAAATGAGCTCACATGACTTGTATTCTACTGAGGGCAAATGAGAGAAGGTTAGTGATTAGAACTTCACTCTGGCAACACCTCCCTCAGATCATCTATGAGGTTGTGCAATCCTGTAGCCCTATATATACAGCTCAAATCCAGGCATTGGCGCCTCTCGCTCAGCCTCCAAGGAGTCTCAGGTCTTCTGCTGCACACGGGCCCAGCCATGAGGTTTCACTACATCTTGGTGCTGATTTTGTCTTTCCTCTTCTTGCAGATCAACCCAGGTAAGACTTAGAATCTTCTGGAAAACCTTGCCAAGGAATGGGGAGCATAGGAATCACAGAAATGAAGACAGCTGTATCCATGTCATGAAGGGCAGCAGGCAAGAGAGACCCCAGGTTGAGGGTCTGCAGTGGGCAGCTGGAGGCTCTGCAGCGGTCCTTGGGCAGCAGGGGAAGGGGGGCCCTATGGTCTCAGGGCTACTCAGACACAGGTCCCCACGTCTCCCAGCCCCATCACTGTCCTGGGCATCTAGAGCATGCCCTGTGTGGAAGGGATTTCTGCTTCCCTTCACCGGGCTCCTCACACTGAGGGCCAGCTTCCTATCCAGAGAGACGCAACTGCCGTGCTCACCTCAGGTCACTGGGTGAGGCTGCCCCAGTGCCCTGCTGCAGGCAAAGTGCCACCACCCCTCCCACCAGGACAGCTCAGCCAGTGCCTGTGACTCACCTACTGTGCAGACAGCAGGAACCACAGGTGACTTTCCTCCTTCCCTAAGAAGGCCTGCTTTCCCCAGGCTACATCTCCCCCGGGAACAGGGGGGTGCTTCCAGGCAGCCAGAAGTTGCCGGCTTCTCTGGGACAATGCCCAATGTCCTTGAGGTGAGAAAGGGGACCCTCAGGAGGAATCAAGGACACAGGATCACCCCTGTCCTGTCACAGTGTTGTGAGCAAGACACACTGCTGAGGTCAGTTCCATTACTTACAAATGGAGTCCTAGGACAGAGAGAAGTGCTGGACACTCTCCAGGAGCCCTATCATGCAGGCCAGGCCTTTATTCTAGATAGAAGACTATTAGAGCCAATCAGGCCTTCATTTCCTATGGGAAACTGGGCATCAAAGCATTCTAAATGCAGTTTACTGTGCTGCCAGTAGAGACCCTCAGAGAGATACAGAAATCGATTTAGAGAGTGGAAACCTGTTTTCCTTTAAAGACTGGAAAATACCAGAATATACCAGGTCCCAGGAGGACCTGCTGGTTCAACCTTCTCCTTCAGCCAGGGGTGAGGGTGGTTTTACTGATTAAAAAGGAAACATTCTTTCTGACATTCCAAACTCAAAACAGTTTAAAGCAGATTTTTTACCAAAAGAGTTTTATGTTCTTCCCATCTGAATAGGATCATGAGCACCTCATTCAAAGCACAGGGCTGAGCAGGCACAGGGGACAGTCCTGACCTGCTCTGTAACAAGGCAGCTGGCAGCAAGGACCACACAGAGGACGCTCAGGGGCTCCCCTGCCAGGCCCCTCTGCACTGGGCCTGGACCACCCAGGACTCCTGTGCACAGCCTGTCAGGAAAGCAGTTCTCAGCTCACCTTCTAGAAGGAGCAAAGAGCAGAGCCACCCCCCTCCAGGCAGGAGCCAGGGAGGATCGGAGGCCCTGGGGGACCCACAGGCCCAGCACTGCCTCTAAGGAGCTGCAGCTGTCCCCACAATCCTATTTGGCCGCAGGGAAGAACACTGCTTAGGGCTCTGAGCTTTGTCCTCGGGAGGGGTATGGAGGGGGAGGAAGAGCTGCTCCTCTGTCTGCTCTGCACATTATCATGCAGGTTCCCCTCCTGTGTCCCTGGGTCACCCTGCAGGCAGCGCTTAACCAGGCTTTGCTTCTCACTGTGGGCACAGGCTTCAGGATTTTACTTTAAAACAATATATATGATATGGATGTCATATTAAAAATATGCATTTTGTGGTGTAGGACATTTTGGGACCATTTGGTTCACTTTTGAACCCAGGCACTGTGGCGGGTGAAATCAGATGGCTCACAAGTCCAACACCTCACACTCTGGGGCTAATGTTGCCAGTGCTGTGGTCCTTGCTCCACGCCCACTGTCCCCAGGCCTGTGCTGCCTGCCCAGCTTGGAGTTCGGTGCAGGGACTTAGGTGCCCCACCACAAGGTGCTGATGCTCTGTCTCAAGCCATGGCTCCACTGAGCTCACACAGTAGATCCTGTTTCTGGAAGAGTCCTTGGAGCTAGCCTGCTGCATCAGGAGCATTTGGGGAAACCAAGGCCCATTGACCCCACGGGGGCAGAAGTCTAAGACTTGTGTCCACTTTAACACTGCTCCTCTCTACCAGAAAGAGACAGCCTTGCCCACTTTCACCTCCTGCTAATGGTCTTTCCGTGAACACAGCATGAGGTCAGGATGACAAGACTCCCAGCCAGGCTTTGGAAATCAAGAGAGCTTGAGGCTTGCTGGGCTGACTAAGCCAGACTTAGCCAACAAGGACCGCGTGCAGGCACTGCCCTGGGAGTGGGGAAGAGCAAGGGAAGCGCAGGCCCTCCATGTCGGCACCCTCCATTCTGGAAGCACAGGAGGACATGGAAAAGCAATCACATGTGTAGTTTTCCTATCGTAAATGCACTTTGGAAGTCTGCTGAGCACAGTGGTCAGAAAACACAGAACCAGGAGCTGAGCTGGTCCCCCAGTATCAGCAAAGGCTTGTTTGAGGAGGCTGAGATGAGGAGGAGTAATAGAAGCCATGTTGCTGAGCGTGCTGTTTAAAATTTTAATTCCCTTTCAACATTTAGGAACCAAGACCTGTGACATGACCCTTAGACTGTTATCTGCTCTCTATACACAAATCGGGGTCATATTTCTTCCTGACAACAGTGAACTGCAGCTGAACAGGGGCTGCAGGTCCAGATAGCACCCCCAGGTCCCCCCAGACCCACCATGCCCTGTGGCCTTCCCTGCCTACTTGACACGAGCAGTGATCTGCCTGGCTGGATGAAGTGCACTAGAAAGGTCAGAGGGCAGGGGGTGGAAAGAGAAGGTGCAAAAGCCCCATAAAGACCACCAGTCGACTTAGCCCTGTAGTGCCCTGTGGGAACAAGCCACCAGCCCCCAACTGGGGGGAAAGAACGTGGTCTATGCCCCATGCCTCGTGGTCAGCAGCTCAAGGGCTCGAACTCAGGCTACCAGCCTCCAAGGGACCCCTCAGGGTCTCTGCAGGTTCCAGGTACACTGCGTGCTGAGAGGGACCCATGAGGTGGGGACAGGAATCCCAGGACCATGGCCTGGGGACAGGCCCAGTGAGGCCTCTGGGGCTGGCTGGACCCTAAAGGGTCTCCACTGGGGAAAGGGCAAGTTATAAATGGCATTTTAGAGATTGGTTGTCTGGAAGCTGATTGGTGATCTGGAGTGACCAGAGGCCAACGGAGGCAAGCTAGAGTGGGGACAGGCTGGCTGTAGGACCTTCTGTCATCACTGAGACGGTTTCCCTAACGAGTTCTGACTTCTTCAGAGGCCACAGCTATTAGCCCTTTCTCCACCTCCTCCTGCCTTGGCCTGCAGGCTCCACACTCTGCCTGCTGCCTTGGGTACATTTCCTACCTTTAAAAAGGCAATACCCCCAGGCCTCAGCCTTGGGCGTCTCCCATCTCCACCCTTCCCTGCCTGCACTTGACAGTCTCCTCCCAGAACCTCCACCGCCTACTCCTTCTCCCTCTCCCATTTCTGGAAACTGTTCTGGGAATCCTCCTGCTGAGGCCTAGGGATCCCATCTAGAAAACACAAGCCAGTTGTATGGCTTCCCACAGGGGCCCTGTGTCCCCAGGACAGGCCAAGATAAGGGCCTGCGCAGCCACAGGCACTGCAAAGCCACCAGCCAGGACAGAGCCATGGAAGGCACTTTATAGCTGAGGAAAGCTACTCCAGGAACGTCATCTCCCTTAATGTCCCAGATCCTCTGCCACATGGGGCCTGCTCTCACGCCTGTTCATAGACCTTTGCAAGCCAACCCTCAGAGAGGTCTACTTTCCAGTAACCAGCCAGCAGAGGACCTGGGCTCCCAACTCTACATTCTCTCCACGGCTTCCCAAAGACCTCTGCATGAGTCACCAAGCACACTGACCTCTCTCAAGAGCAGTCTAGATGGGAAGGGCATTGAAGCTTCCACGAGTCAGAAGGTGTTGCCACTGATTGGCAGATGCCTTGGGTTCTTGTTGTGGGGTCTTCCTCTGCTACCTGAGTTCAGAAGTGGGCTATCTTTGGAATTTTGTGAGTTGTTTGGTAGAGTGTTAGATGAATTTATCCCCAGATAGCCTAAAAATTTTCTTAAAAACGAACTCCAATCCTCTTGGGCCACCACTGACTGTGTCTCTGCCTACACCCCACCCCTAAGTGCCCTCAGCCTTTATTTTAATACCCCTACAGGATGAGCCCACTTGCTCCTGGGCCCTTCCAAGTATACCCACCACTGCTCAGGAGGTTGCTGTGAAGGAGATCCACTTTATCCTGACCCGGGAAAGGGCTTGGGCTAGCTTACAAGCCCAGAGGTTCTGAGAAGCTAATTCCAGCCTATGCCTGGTTGGGTTTCTGGTCCACTGCCCATGTATTCATCTCCAGAGGTGTGAATTTTGTGGCCACTGTTGGGAAAATCTAGATTGTATACCCACATCAAGGTGTGCACTTCCATGTCCCAAATTGGCCGCTCCCCTGTGCCTCTCAGTCCTGAGTGCTGAGCAGGGTGGAACCTTACTAGCTGGTCTGCTGCAGTCCTAGGTGAGAGAGAAGGGTGGGGTTTGAGCCTCCCTTTCCCCAAATACTTGTCCTTTTGCAATTCACTCCACCCCAGCTGGATGGTTTTTGTGTCAATGATTCTCAAACTGTGTCTTTAACATTGTCCCACGTGCTGTCATTGAGCTGCAGTTGCATCATACAATCTTAGAACCCCTCGCAAGGGACCTTGGGTGGGTGGAAAACAAACCACCCAGGACCAGAAGTCCCAGCACCAGGCGCTGGAGCAGCACTCTGCCATTCTCACCTTCTCCCCCTCGCTGTCTCCCAGTCTCCCAAAACCTGCTTAAGAAATTGTGCTTTTCTGGTTCTTTAACACGAAGACCACAGATCCCCTCTGTGTTGACAATCTCCTTCATGGCAGCCGGCTGAGCAGTCTTCCTCGGCCACCAGCATGGGCCCTGCTAGGGCCCGTGGGACCTCAGGGCCACAGAGGGCTGGTGCAGTCTTCCTTGCGCCATTCTCTGCCTGCTGAAGCCCTGACAC